GGGGGGGGGGGGGGGGGGTACTGGCGGTCTTGAAAGAGGATTTGGGTTTCGGGTTGGCACGTTGTAGGGTTGAGCGAAGCACTTTGCATAAGCTCAACGCATCTGTCTGCCCCCACCAACTCTCCAAACCTGTGAACAATGCAATGCCAACGTCCAGCAGGACCATGATGCGACGACAAGAAGACATCGAATCACTCCAAGTAATTCTCCGCGACAGTGCCGATCCCCAAGAAGCCACACAAGCATCACCCCAACAATCACAATCAGCAGCTACGGCTGCGAAACCCGGACTGTCACGAACGTCACATGTGCACCTGCTACACAGTGAACAGTGTCCGAAAGCATTCTTTCCTGATAATTTGAAACCCGCATACAAAAAACCTAAAAAACACATGCAAATATGCGCCGTAACACAGAGAGAAAAACTTGGTGCGCACAACTACCGGAGCTATAGCAATACTCAAAGGAGAAACTTGTACCGGTAAGGCCTACCCGGCCTACCCTTTGAGAGTCGACACCCCTTCCATTGGATTTTCTTGCACGTGTTCTGGGATTTTGAGGCTTGCAATGCAGGAGGATGTCGGCGTGTTTCTCTGTCAGACTTGTTCAGGTTCGGGAGAAACAGGATCATGCGCCAGTGCAGGGAAAACGATAACCCAAGGAACACTTGCAGGGAACCCCAGCGTCCAAGCCTTTCAGGACAAGCATCACTGAACCACATCCAAGGTTCCAACTCCATGCAGCTGAAAGTTCCAGCCGCATGTTTCCGCTGCTCAACTGCTCGTCCATCAAGACCTTTCTCGATTCTCCATTCGGCTTTACCCATTGCACTGCTGGCACGAGCCGCGAGTCAGGGTGCCCTGTTCGTGGGGCATCGTCAGATTTCCAAGTATTGCCATTGATTGTTGCCTATGTGGTCAGTATGGGGCATTTCCTCATCATTGTACAGTCTGTCATGGCTACTGTGCTGATAATGACCCGCCCTCAAATCTGAACCACATCGAATGCAAGGTGATTGCTGCGAGGCTTTGAAGTGCAGCTTTGAGCCCTCAAACCTTAAACCCTGAGATCCACGATGCATAAAACCATCGCTTGATCCCACTGGCCTAAGACCCGGAGCCCTTAAGTACAAGCGTCAAGAAGAAGACTCCTTGAAGAATAAGGTCGTGAAGGTACAAGCATCACGTAATCTGAAGGCAAACTAAATAATAAGAATAATAACAGCACAAGCAACCCTGAAGCGAAAGGACTCTGGCTGAGGCTACGACAAAGGGATCGAAGGCAGGCTCCTTGGCCAGATATCAGAGCTTCAGAAGCAGCAACAGCTAAGGAAGCTCTTTTACTTACAGGCCTCCCCTCACTTCCCTGTTGTCTTTAAGGACTCTAAAGATATTGACCTGTGTATTGCTCTGGCGATGTGTGCTCAGCCAGTGTTTTCGTTTGGATGGTGTGCGGTGCTTTACGAGTTCATTCGGGATTTACGGTTTAGATTATCATTCGGTCTATCCTCGCATATCCGCGCCCACGGAAATACAATTTCATTCCACAGCGAGATCTGGCATGTAAATATATACATTTGGGATCATTCTCAATGTCCCCAGTTGCTACGCACGACGAATGAAGCTCCCGGCAACATTCAACGAAAGAGGTCTCTTAGTTCCAACTCCCATGACGTATCCTGATCCCAGTGGCATTTGCCAGCCACAAGCAGCAGCTGAACCCATCAAGCTTCAGGCTCGTGCCCATGTTAAGCTCCTCTTTTTTTATGTCCAGCCCACCCCAGCCCGCAAGCTGAAGTATAGGGCCTTCAACAAGAAGAATGGGGTTTGGGGGTGTATTAAACCTTTACTATAAGAAAGATTCTTAACTAATAACATTTGTAGCTATTGAAGCTTGCCTCGGTCTTAGCATAGCCGAGGCTAGGGCTCGGTAGCTGCCAGGCTGCCACGAGAATGAAATTCGAATTGAATGATAATTGGTTTCAGATTGATCTCATGTTAGGCACTCCACGTGCTGCGAAACCTCATTGCGCGAAACAACACAACCTCACAAGCACACGACCCAACAAGTTACTGGAAAGCACCCCACCCAAATACGAATACATAAAGGGGGCTCACAGACTGGAGCACCAAAATATATAACGGACAACACACCAACCTGCGACACTCATGAATAAACTGAGCAAAGGCAGCACCAGGGAAGTACACTAAAACTCATACATACATGCACAACATGAAGCAGCACAAAAAATCAATAATGTGTGGATCGTTGCTTGTCCTTCCCAAGATGATCAACCACCCCTTCAAGGTGTTCGCTTGAAAATTCCACCGTGCGCTTGCCTAACACCCCAACACAAAATGGAATGTACTTATGTTGTAGCCATGCATGACGACAAATGGCTCACAAGGAGCGAATATGAAGTTAGGGGTGATCAACTTACGTCTAAAGGAAGCATGTTGTTATTTGTGGGCTGTTTGTGCTCGTGCGTGGGTCGTGGGGTTTAGGCTTAAAGCTTTCAAAATTAAGGGTCTGGTAAAAGATTTAAAGCTTATCTTCTAGTGTTTCAGGTTTCAGCATTAACACATGGGCACTGCCGGTTGGGGTTGGGAGTCTAAGGCCTATGAGTTTTGATCAACCCTAGGCGAGGCTATTATGCGGGAAGGTCAGGGTGAAAGCAGGCTTACATTACACAGGCCCGGCTTGTCTTTCACTGTTTCAGGGTTTACAGGCTAAGAGTGACCTCTCCCCAAGAGCTTACGAGAGCTGTGACTGGCGTCGTTGAGCCCCTCGTTTAGATCACTGTTAGTAAATAAACCAAAAAGTTCTATCTACATTACATAAGTAGACAAATAGTATATTACACATGCACAGATACACTTGCATATTAAACACACACACACACACACGTAACTCAATATACGGTACTGTGAATATGCGGCCATAAATGCAAAATCATTGCAATTTGCATTCGGGAGTTTCTGGTGCCCATCGTTTCGGATCGTCGCGTCCGGGGGTTTCGGATATGTAAACGGGCGGCACGTTCGGGGCCGGAACATATTGAGCAACAACAACCACGAAAACGGCGAACACAAACGACAAGAAACACAGGGACGAAACGCCTCCGCATCAAAAGAACTCGGTTGATCACACGATTTTGTCAAAGTTCCTCAATAGGCGATGGTGAGCAATCACATTTCTTCGAAGCCGGCCCTCATTAGGCCATGGCGGTTGATCGCAATTGTTAAAACCCGCCTCCTCATCAGGATTCTTAAACATACCCTTTCATGAGGTGATGGCGGTTGTTCGGTTGATCAGTAGTTCTTAGACCCGCTTCCCCGTCAAGCGCTGGCATTTCTTGAGCCGGCCCCCTCAACAAACGACAATTCTTAAACCGGGCCCCAGTTCAGCGATGGCTTTCAGTCGCACTGGCGGTCAAACACATTTCTTAACCCCGCCCGCGTCATGAGGCGATGACTCCCAGGAAAGTTGCGTCGTTGGTTCGGTTATGTTTTAATCTTTTGTGTTTGTTTTGTTGTTTTGTGGCTGGTGTTTCTGCTTTTTTGAATGATGTGGGGGTTTCCCCTGTCGGTTGGTGTGTTTTGCTGATTGTTGTTGGTTATTTTCGGTCTTTTAATGGATTCGCGTTGTTCCTGTATATTCGCTCGTCACCTTATGATGGGGCAGGTTCGAGAAGCGCGATCAATCGCCGGGTGGCTGCCCAATGACCCAATCAAACTTCATCGCCCAAGAAGAAATGCTGTGATCGCCAGCAGCTGCTCTGGGCGGATATTCCGAATTGTGATCGGCAAACATCGCCACATGAAGGGCTCGGTTTAAAAATGTGATCGACTCCCAGCGTGATCGGAAGCCATGGCCGACGGCTACAAAATATGACCAATCACCAACGCGTGCTGAACAGGTCGGTCTGAGAAATGCTGTGCTCCACTGCCAGTGCTTGACGAGGAGGCAGGTCTCAAAACGAGTGATCAACAGCCATCCCCTAAACGAGTGCCAAAAGAAAGGCCGGTTTAAGATCAACGGCCATGGCTTAATGAGGGGCGTCCCTGCCAATATGGAAGCTCCTCGTGGAGGGAGCATGGTACTGACATGTCGAAGCCGAACCACTGCAGTCTGTGTTCTTTGAAGCTCCAAGCAGAGGGTTGGAACATGCCTCCAACCTAATCCAACAAATCGGTTAGCTGTGGGCTGGCCAATCGATGCAAAAGAAAACGCTCATTCTTTTAGATTTCGCCCATACTGTTATTAGGGCCCCATTGTGATCGCCCAGCATCAACAAGGCCGCCAAATCAAAGTTCTCATCCTGCAGTCCATGTTCATTCTGTGTGGCATCCAGAGCAATTACTGCCAGGGCTTTCCCAATCTCCTTTTGGAACTGTCCGGCTCCCAGTCACGCCAGGGGAAATACCTCTCCTCGAAGGCTCGGCTACAAGCTGTGGCCACAAGAAATGCATGAATGGTTCAAAAGAATTGGGATTGAATGCCCATGGAAGTGGCTGCAAGAACTTTCGCGACATGTCATCGCAGAGCATGTGCTTGCAGGGAAGCCGGTGGTCGAGAAAACTTTCATCCAAACTACTACAGCCCTTAGCATGTCTCATACAGGCGCAGCCAATCCCAAACACCTACCAAGCGCACACGAAGGCCAGCACTGGGACAAAAGGCTTCTGGATTTCCAACATGCAAGATGATAAACAGCTGCCTCGGGACACCATGCATTCCAGGACAGGAATCATCCAAGCTTTGCGGTTGTGCTTCGCCTTCCTTGCTCTTCTCGAGCCAAGACGCCAATCTAGTCTAAAAATTTGAAATCCGATAGTCTAGTGGCTGTTCACCGTATCGCCCAGAATGAGGAAACCTTCTATACGTGCACACTAAGTTCTGTATGCATGGGTATACAATACGTATACATATGTATACACATTTGCTTCGGTAGATGTGTATAGATTTATAGCTGGTGATACCTGTATTGTAAGCTGGTGCAACACTGCTTGCTTCTCAAGAAGTGTGATCAACCGCCCTGCCGGGTGTTCCTGGTGATCCGGATGTTCGGGTGTTCTGCTCTCCGGGGGTTCCGGGTGTTCTGGGCGTTCCGCATGGTCCGGGTGTTCTGGCTGTTTCGGGTTCCGCTCCGGATGTTCTGAGCGTTTTTGGTGTCCCGGGTGAGTTCCGGATCCGGGCGTTCCGGGTCGGGTGGGTGTTCCGGATCCGGGGGGGGGTTCCAAAAAGCAAGAAATCCTCAGGGGCACTTCTAGATGGAGCAGCCTAAACCCGAGATCCCTGCTTGAGCCGCGGAATCATAGACCCTAAAGCTGAATTCCAAACAGCCCCAAGAGTTGCAGACCAGCCACCCCTTGGGTTTCTGTCTCCTCCGTTACTCCAGGAGGAAGCTCAGCATCAATGGAGGCCCAGGTCACCGGGTAGATGTTGATGGGAATCTGAGTTCTTACATGGCTGTCGGGGTGTTGCGGCGTCAGGGTTGGAGCGCTGAGGAACGCAAAGGGTGGATGTAGCGATGTAGCGAGGAATGTGCGCAGCGAGGTTTCGAGCTGAGGATAACTGTAGCATTACTTGTGGTTTGGGACTTGAATCACGGGAGTCTGACTCCAGGGCTTGTAAGGCCTGGGGGTGAGGAAACAGTGCGAGCGGCATTGAAGAGAACTGTGATGAGGTTGGCCCACTGAGCATTTCGGAGACCTCCACATGTCATGGATGAGTTTTGAAGCTTGCTTAGGTCGCAAAGTCAACATGTTAAAAGGCTTTCCAGGCAGGTATGGACAGTCGCGTGCCTTTCAGGCAGCGGAAAGCCACCATGAGGGACTTCACCAAGGAGGTCACCGCAATCCTGCAAAAACAGGGTCCGAATCAAGGAATATGAGCCGAATGACAACATGATCGCAACCTATAGTGCCGAACAAGTATATAAGTATATACCTGCCCGGAAACTTACACGTCCGAGCTGAGGCTCGTCGGCCGAAACTGCAGACCCGGATACACTCGGACAATGAAGACTAATACCAGAACCCACATGCCTTAGCGAAGCATCTCCGTGGGTTTGAAGTGCAAAAGCAATGAGTGTCGGGTTTATGCTCTCACATCTCCGGAGCATTACACCGACTCGAACCTATTGAACCTCGCCTGGCTTGTCCGAGATGTGAGAGCGTAATGATTGTCGGGTTTAGGAGCCTGCACTCCGTATGTTGCCACTGCACTACGAGGGATAAATGGCGTACCTGCGTTATACCTCAGAGCAACTTCTACGTCTTCGCTTCCTGGTTTACCATGACGTTTGCACTTGGTTTTCACGGTTCAGTCAAGAACTGAGCCAAGGAACAAGGAACGTTCCCGTGACTTTTACTGTCTGAGGCACCGACGTCACAAGCTGCAGCAAGGCGTAGTTGCTGACCTCGCAGACTCTAGACTCCAAAGCTTGCGAGTTCCGGTTCTCAGCTCGCCTCGAACCCCTTCAAACTGCGCAAGTGACTGAAACAAGTGCTGGACCGAAAAGCATCATGATGACTCTCCCGATGCCCTTATTCCGTCTTCCCTAACCCAAATCAGGGGTGTGTGTGCGGCAAGGTGGGTATTTGCTGAGAGCAGGCCTCTCCTCACGTGGGATCTTAAGCGAAGACGGACTCCACCTATTACCACCTACGAGGCTATCAGAAGCCGCATACATGCTATTTCGAAAATTGTGGTGCCAAGATGCCGCGTAGTCGCACCCGCAAAGGCAATCAGCCTGCCCCGAGGGCAAGAGTTGTGAGAGATACTCGGTTCTTGTCAAGGAGCACTATTTCGGCACCCACCGGAAGAAACCTTTTTACTGTTTGACAAGACTTCAACAACATCCCGTAACATCCCGTAACGTCACGAAACCCCAGCACTCAACACACGAAAAAACAACAACAGCTTTTGCATGGAGTTCAGATAGTCCTTGTAAGTAGAACCCTACTATAGTGCAGGAGATCCCGACCAAATTTATGATCTCCTGATATCCGAAATTCCCCTCTCTGTGTTTTGCTTTGCGGTCCTGGAAAACTGTCGCTGTTTAGCGTCCAGGTCTCTGACGATCGTTAGCTGAGATTGGCGACACAGCTGTCGCTGGGCTTTGCTGTATGGGTCTGGTGATGCGAAGGCCGCGGCCTTCAGCCCTCCTCGCATTCCCAGGTGCACATGACTCGGCATCAGACCCGGGATAGACGTAGAACGCCACGGTGCAGGATTAGGCCAAACCCGCGCAACACATCCTGAATCTGCGCAGAACTCCATCCACCCCAACCTACATCTCATAGTATTCTGCTTCCAGGGACATCGAATCATTCGGCTACTTAGCCTAGATCTGGATCCGCAATGGATTGGAGACCTCATCCGGCTAATTTCACCGCATGGCTAATCCGTCACAGCTTTAACAAGTCTACTCACATTTAGGTTGGGTCTCTACGTCGCTATACGTCTCCCTGCCTCCATAATCGAGGGGTGAGTGTCCTCAAGTCAAAACAAACGCATTCACGGGCGATGGACAAATGAACGAGGAAAGCGAGAGACACAACAAAAGGATACAGTGCGACAGAGGGGGAGAACCAGAGACATGCCACGGCAGCGGAGAACACCAAAGATGGAGACAGAGACCGCGTGATTGAGTCACTCAAGTATGCTCAAGTCGTCCTCGCCGTTGTTAGTAAAAGTCCAAATGCACAGTGCTGTGACAGCACGTGTCGTCTCGTTTCAACTTGCGGCCGGCAATCCGCCAATATCCCTGCAACAAAACACCAGTGGGAAGGGGGTGAAGCCGAACCGGTGCTCGGCACAAAGCTCAAAGCTGGAAGGCAAAAGCTTCTGGCATGCTCTAGGCTAGCATGTCTGCGCTGATCCTTCAGGAGGTGTGCGGCCGGCACCGAAACTTTGCCCTTCGTCATCCAAGTCAAGGCATACCTAGTCATAGCTGAAGCGAGAACGGGGTTGGTGTTCAAGTCTGCATGCTTTTACCCTGTAGTAGTAGTAGTAGTAGTAGTAGTAGTAGTAGTAATGGTAGCAGTAGTAGTAGCAGTAGTAGTAGTAGTAGTAGTAGTAGTAGTAGTAATAGTAGTAGCAGGAGTAGCAGGAGTAGTAATAGTAGTAGTAGTAGTAGTAGTAGTAGTAGTACTAGTAGAAGTAGTAGAAGTAGTAGTAGTGGCAGTAGTGGTAGTGGTAGTGGTAGTGGTAGTCGTCGTCGTCGTCGTCGTCGTCGTCGTCGTCGCAGTCGTAGTCGTAGTCGTAGTCGCAGTAGTAGTAGTAGTAGTAGTAGTCGTCGTGGTGGTGGTGGTGGTGGTAGTGGTAGTGGTAGTGGTAGTGGTGGAGGTGGTAGTAGTAGTAGTAGTAGTAGTGGTGGTGGTAGTGGTGGTGGTGGTGGTGGTAGTGGTCGTGGTAGTGGTAGTGGTAGTGGTCGTATTAGTAGTAGTAGTAGTAGTAGTAGTAGTAGTAGTCAGTAGTAGTAGTAGTGGTAGTCGTAGTCGTAGTCGTAGTAGTCGTAGCAGAAGTAGTAGTGGGACTTAGCAGGGCATATCTTGTTCTTGGCTTGTCGGCTGCCGCGCAATCAGAAAACCAAGTTTGCGAGCACAACATGAAATTAATTAGCTCAATCAAGGGTCCTGATTTGGTTAAAGTTCGGTAAGGGGCTTGTTGCACGCAGACCCTTGAAAACGCTCTGGTCGCTCTTAAAGTATACGCCATGCACAGAACATGAACTTCGCTAGCCGCTAGCCGCTAGACGAAGCCACTGGCAGATGTCTAACAAGCTTTCAACCGTTGGAACAAGCATCACGCAATCAACTGCGAGTACATCCGTGCCCTAGCGAACAATGTGGCGACTCGGGGCCACCGCAACGCAAGCCCTAACGAAACCTGTCGAAGACCCAATACCTGTCGCAGACCTGATAAACCGCTACACCCGCCGCGCAAGGTGCTGCATGTTCCAGAAGCCAGAGAACTTGCAAACCACAATGCGCTTACATTCGCGATGCCTTCAAATTCCACACCCTTCCGTTTTTCATCCTAAACCTCTGCAAGCTTTAAACACTGGGAGGTAAAGACGAGACACCACGGCCGAATCGCCCGGTGGAGGAGCCTGCCGCGAGGCTCCGGTGTCGAGGTAGGGGACCTCTTAGCCCTCTTAGTCTGACGGCTCAGGTTCAAGACAGGCAAAGCTAATTGGGATCGTAGAAGGTGCTGAAACCTCGGTGACTAGGGGGCTGCGTCACAAGCTTTGGGAACCCTGAACCGCGCTCTCAGACCTCAAAGACTCTTTCATCGCTCGGAACTCAAAGGGAACGTGCATCGGGCCAGCGTTTGCTGCAAGATTATCCGAACATTCCCCAACTTTGGGATCTGGAGTCCATGGGCTAGACGTAGGATCCTGAATGTGCAGCCCCTTTGAAAAAAGTCATGTTGCCAAGACACCACACGACGAGTTGGATGAAAAGGATCAAGCCTGGTCCCATGCTTGAGGAGCGTTGTGATTTGCAAAGCCTGAAACAAATCATCACACCTGCCAGTAACTCACGAGCGCACTGGGCGCGGTGAACTGCACCAAGCCCTGGAACACCCTTCCACGATAAACGCTAGATCCGCATAGATTTGCAGATCCTCATTCTCTCCAAAACAGACTCAAATCCCTGTTCTTGGCTCCGAAAGCCGAACAACCCATCGTTGCAGGTCGCGAAAAGCTTAGGCAGGCGGCTGTAGATGGCGCACACAATGCTTTGCACGAAGACCGCTGCGCGGCTGAGCCCTGGACGTTCAAGTGGTGTCCGGATTCAGGGTTTCGGGTCGCAGTAGTCTCCATCAAAACCACTCAATGCGAGGATTTTGATCCGGCAGAATTCTCAGACTTGTTTAGGCTGCATTGAAACGTTGGCTCTCGATTTGATATGCCGATTCCCGATCTCCTGGATATTACGGTGGTGCATTGAATTATGATGTGTGTGTGTGTGTGTGTCTGCCCGTCCGTGTCTGCTGTGTCTCGCTCCGAGTCGCATGCACACCGCGCCACGAATAACCACACCGGGTCCAAGAAATGGAAAATTGCGCAGGATAGGAGGACTGAGCTCGTCGAGCGTAAACACCGAAGCCTTCGCTGAGCCCAGTCTGTGAAAGAGGGAACGGGCCTTGACAAGGACACGTAAATAAAGCACCGTCAACTTTAGGAAATCCCGACGACAAGCTCAACGCACGTGCTTTCTTCTAGTACCCTTGAGGCCATGGCGAATGGGGTGTGTCACAAAGAGTGCCACAAAAATCGGGCTCAGCACGAAGACAGCGAGTCCTGAAAACAGCAGCACAGACTCACTTCGCACCTCCCTGGAAGCCCATGCATTGTGGATCAAGCATCTATGTTAGTGTGCAACAGGCCGCGAGGCTCTGGGCAGAGGCTGTATGTCTGCAATGAGACTAAGGCGACCATACAGTATGAAACCAGCTGGACAACTGGACAGACTTGAGTCAAGCACCTCTGCAACACCTAAAAAGACATGTTCCCCACACCATAACATGCCCACAGGTCCGAAGCAGCTTTTCGTCTTGCGATCTTATTCAGTTCCTGTCATTCATTGCCATGCTGCCAATGATTTGCCATTGGCTAGTTAGCCTATCAGCTACATAGCTTGAAGGGTCCACAACAACCACTACAGCAGCCTATATGGAGAGATCCACGAGATGGGGAAACCGTATGAGTTTCACTGCGGGTAGTATATATGTATGTACATGTCTATGTGCGTACACAGAAGGTTGCATACGCGATACAGACTCAATACTCCTCGCATCTTGTTTAAAGGGGATCTGCGAAACCACTACCTGCAGTAAGCAATGCGAACTTATGCGGATTCCGGTAGCATACGCATAGGCCGGTGAGATTTTATGTTAACACAGTGTGTACGGAAGACGAGCTTGAGATGGCTGCAATATGTGTAAAAGCAGCTCAGAAGCAAACGCTGAACGGAGGCATCCGTCGATCAAGTGAAAATGATGTTGGTCCAGCCAGTAGTCTACATCTCATTCGGGTCATCATAAGGATCGAAAGCAAACCAGCACCTACCGTGCACCCACTCAAAGCTTACCATCCCCTAGAGGTGGCTGCAGATTGTAAATGGGTGGTGCGAACAGTCATAGTAAATAGAAAGCTCTCTACTCTATCTCAAACACAGCCCTCCATATCTATCTCACTCAACACCTGGCTCGGGCTAGGCCAGGGGACCCAAGTTCCACAGGATCAGCAGTGGTATACCTCAGCTCGGCGAGCTTGTGCCGACTCCAATGCAGTGAAGAGCAGTGCAGAGCGCATTGAAACTTTCGTTCGGAATGATGTGCCCAAAGAACAAGACTAAACCCTAAAGCGTGGTATATGATATATGCTGGTGTCTTGCGGAATTCATTTTGGAACTGTACTTCTGTCATCGCGCACACGCACACGGCGATTCACCGCGGTGTGGAGGGAGGGAGAGACTGAGTGAGAGAGTGAGTGAGTGAGTGAGTGAGTGAGTGAGTGAGGGAAGGAGGGAGTGAGTGAGGGAGTGAGGGAGCGAGCGAGGGAGGGGAGAGCCAGAGGGAGAGTGCGCGAGGAAGACTGGGCAAACAGGTAGGCGTGCAATGCAGTTATAGATTGATGGAGAGACCTCTGCTTGGGATTGGGGATGCGGGGATGTTGTGTTTTCCGCTCCTCGCTGAAACGGTTCGAGTTCGAGTCCATGGGGTGTTCAGAACGACAGTGGCTAGCGTGGTGAATTAAGGCTTCATGAGACCTTCCTGTAACCTCTGTAAGCAAGGCCTTCCTTGGAGTTTGCCTTGTGGGGCAGCCCCACAGGCTCCGGAAAGTGCAGAACTTTTCATGCAACGCGGTCCGCTATCCAGCTCGCGACATCGTCTAGCTCCTCATCGCAGGCGCTGTGACCCATATTCTCGTAAACACGCCAATCCAGCGAGATGCCCACCTGAGCTGCAGCTATGTGGTGCTGAAAAGCGCGGCCTGTATTTTTCCCCTCGCGCATGGCTACAAGGACCAGTGCCCAGAAGCGAGGATGTTTTGATCCAAAAACTCAGGCTTTGCAACTGCACACCGCAGACCTGCCCTACCTCAATGAATGGAGGAGTAGTGTTCGAAACCATACCCGGCAAACGACCCCAGCGGAGCTGGAAAGGAACGACCTCCGCATCTGCTTCTGCTCTCGTCGTGACCAGATTTTCACCACCCAGCCATGAAATGCAATCATCTTTCTGTCCGACACTGAACTCATACCGAACTCTGCAAATCAAACAGATAGACTCCTTCCTCTGGCTTTCCTCCTTATACCTACTGCGAAGACTAGTACTACTGCTGAATCCCATGACCTCCTACAACAATGAAAAACCCGATTGGTGACGGCCCGACACGGCCAAACCCTACACTGACACTAGGGGCATGCCCATCCAAGATAAAAAGTCCCAAGGTCCGAAGCTTCGCCGATCCCCAAAGCATGGCTCACGCGGGGTTTCGAACTTCGGCTCTTTGGCCTGTGAATGTCTTTGGTCAATCTGAAGCTCGGAAGCCCTCACCAACCCGAAACCCACGTTGCACCCTAAACTTCAGTCGAATTCCTACAGCCGACACCTCCTCCAGCCGTTTGCGGCCCGCATGTGCCCAGCTCAAGCGCACAACCTCGACCGTGTTCTCAACCCTCAGCTTTCCAAGGTTTTAAGCATTCGACGATGCCAGCAGGCCTCAAGCGGTTTCGGAGATTTGAGAAGCGCTGAAGTTCACTGACTGCAGTTCTCTCACTATGAAAGCTCGATATATTTTAGCTGACCGGATCCGCATAGGTAAGTTGGAGCAGAAGGAAGAAAAGCTGCAAAAGCGCCAGGGTGCAACGGTTCTGGGTTCCCTATCCCAAAGCCGCACCGGCCAACGGCC